GCCGAAACCGTAAGTTCTACTGTTTATCATGAATTTTAATTTTTAACTGCAAATTGAAATTGTAAAATGAAATGCATAAATTTGGTGTTTGTGAGTTTGTCTAATTTGGTGTTTGTGAGTTGTGAGTTTGTCATAAATTTGGTGTTTAATTTCGAGTTTATTTGTTAAAACTGAAAAGTGTTGCTGTGTTGGTAAAGGATTGCATAATCTGACTGTATTGTGTGTTTTCAAGAACTTAAAGTGAATTGTGAAGCTCTCGATTTTGAAGTTGACCTGGCAAAATCAATGTTTCCTATTATAATAGCAGCTCAAATCCATCAAGAAAAAGCATTGTGTTTAGGCTTATAGTTTGCTAGTCTCACAATTAATTAGCAAACACTCAGTTGAATTTGCACTCGAGAATATCTAGCATGTTCCTTTTGCATGGACTTTGCAGGTTTGAAACTCAGGAATAAATAGCCCAAGATAAATTAGGCTGATAGTTTGCGAGTCTCACAATTAATCAACATTGTTTATTCCTAATTGATTGAGGTTGAGGTTGAGGATAATTACAACTGACAACTTTATTGGGCTATTTTCATTTGGATATCTTGATGAATGATGATGGTGATAGTGAAATCTGGGGATGTAACGGAGCTGCAGATCGGTGTGAAGTATAAGTCTGCAACTTGTGAAGTTCAGGCTCACAAGGGTGATAAAGTGAAAGTACACTATAGGGGAAAGCTTACAGATGGAACTGTTTTTTATTCCAGCTTTGAAAGGGGTGATTCAATTGAATTTGAGCTTGGTAGTGGTCAAGTGATTAAAGGATGGGACCAAGGGCTCCTAAGAATGTGCTTAGGGGAGAAGAGGAAGTTGAAAATTCCTTCTAAACTTGGTTATGGGGATCAGGGGTCCCCGCCTACCATCCCAGGGGGTGCTACACTTATCTTTGACACAGAGCTGGTAGGAGTCAATGGGAAAACATCCAGTGGGAAATCAGATGACAGTAAACTGTAACTTAGGAGCCCTTCCTGTAGTTCCTGGTAGCCTCTTGAGAGTTCTCTAGTCTTAGTTTACTTAGTGACAGTAAACCAATATTTTATTCGGTTATTTTGCAGTTTGCTTACGTTGAATTTTGTGTTTATTTAAGGAGTTTCTGCGTCTGATTTTGAAAATGGTCATAGGATATTTTGTAAGCACTGCATATGTTGCCGTATATTGCGGTGGAATAAATGTCATATTCTCCTATAAAATGAGATATATTTTAATTAAAAAAAAAAAATCTGTTGCTTTTTGACTTTTATAACCTGTTGCTTTTTTAAGAATAAAACACTCGGAAATGATGAATAACATCTTGGTCTGATTTTTAGGTTACTGTAAATTTTTCT